GAGACCACAGAGATGTCTGGAAAAATAATCTAAGCAGATGATAAGGCCTGAACTCGGCAGGGCGGCTTGGGGCTGCTGTGCGGGGATCAGCTCTGGGGGGCGGGGGCGGGGAAATTGCTGGGATGACAGTGTCTTGGGGTGCAGCTTGTGGGTGGATGGAGGGGCAGAGCAGGGAGGGATGTGTCTGGGACAGAGGCCCAAGTCCCGGGTCCGGGGCGGCTGAGGTGGCGGGGGTCCCAGGCTGCTGGGCATTCCTGGGCAGGGGAGGGTGGGAGGCATGTTAGGTGTGGGGGGGCCCCTGCCCGCCCACCTCTGAACTGGGGCCTGGAAACCCGGCACTTCCCTGTGTCCGGCTCTAAGCCGTGAACATTTCCGGCAAAAGCAGAGAAGAAAGAAACGCTCCCGGCCCACTGTGCTCCTCATATCAGCAAAAGCAGTGTGAGCTGAGCTTGCAAAATAAACAGGGCTCAACTCAACACCGCAGCAGGTCCCGGGGACCAGCTAGGAATGCGCGAGGGGGAGGAGGTCAAGCCGCCTCCTTCTCCGGGGGTCCCCCGGGAGCCCAGGGGACGCCTGCCTCCCCAGCGAGCCGCCCGACCCGGAGGGGCCGGAGAGACCCAGGCCAGGGCCAGGGGCCTGGGGCAGGGGCCGGGGCCCGTTCTCAGGACTCCCGTCCCTGGCCAGGCACCCTCCAGCTGTGGGAATCGGCTGGCCCCCTGACCACCAGAGCCCGGGGGCCCCCCTGCTTCCTCACCCAGCCCCCGCCCCTTTCTGAACAGACCCCTGTGTTTGTGACGTGCTTTTGGGCTCTGCCGTCTCTCTCTCCACCGCCTCTGGCCTCCACGGGGAACCAGCTCTCACCTCACTAACTGTGTGACCTTAGCCGGCTGCTCAGCCTTCCAAAGCCTCAGTTTCCCCACCTGCAAAGGAGGATTTGTTTGGGCAAATGAGGGTCCTTTCCAGAATAAAGAGGCAAAGAGTGGGTCCCAGCCTCTCCCGTCACAACCACACGCAGCCGGGGAAGGGGAGAGGTCCAGGGGACACCGGCTGCAGGAGATGCCGTTTCTGCTCCCTGTACCCCTGGAGTGAGGAGGCGCCCTGAGGGCGTGGGGCTCTGAGTGGGAGCAGAGGCGCTCACTCCACTGCCGAGCAGGAGCTGTGACAAGGGCTCCAGCGAGAAGGACGTGCTGGGCCCTTCTCTCCCAGGTGGGCATAAGGAGAAGGGGCTCCTTGCAGGGAAACCGAGGCACCCTGAGCAAGCTGAGCTAATGACACCCAGGCCCCTGCCCCTCAGAATGATATGCTCCCGAGGGTGGGGGCCAGTGGCCATGCACCCCACTCCTCTCCGAGCCCCTCGCCTCGTACTGAGTGAGCCGACCTGGGGCGGAAGCCCACAGCCCGGGGCCTGCGCCGCGTGAGAAAGCAGGTGGGGGCTGCAGCCTTGGCTCCCACGGCCAGGGCCCGGCTCCCTTCCGGCC